TTGAAGAAGACCCTCAAGATTTATGTAATAAATGAAGAAGAATGTATATGTAAAAGCGCTTATTCAATTGTTGTGTTTGTTGCATTTCTATTATGATTTTTGGCAAATATCTCATATATTTGTTTTTCACGGATATGTTTGTTTGAATTCTACATCACAAACCCGGATAGAAAACACATAAATATTTCACGTCATGCATGTCTAGAAGACGTTGTAAAAACGTCATAAAGACGTCTATCTTATAATATACGTGTTTAAATGATACGTAAAGAAATTATATGAACGTCTTTTAAGCATTGCGTATTGTCTAGAATTTATTACTTATTAATTTGTACCTGGCAATGAAAGACAATTTTATTTTTTCCAAAGAAGGAAGTATTAGATAACAGAATATATTAAGATATAATGTATACCTGTGTTTACACACATACGTACACAGTATGCAATTAGCATATTATTTAATAGCACTAATGAAAATTATTGTAACACTACTTTAAATGAATTATTTGTAAACCATAATTTTTTTCTGAAAATGTTATTTTGAAAAATCTTATAATATAAAAGAAAATTTTAGTTGATCTGAAATATATATAATGTTAGAGTCATAAAATATAAAAAAGTATAAAACAAAAAAATATTTAAAAATTTTGGACATATGTATGATGTTTGAAATTATTTCATTATATATAATGAGACTGACTAACTGAATATGCCTCAAAATTAAAAAAAATTTTTATTATTTTAAATAATCATTTATATATTTTTCATTGGTGCTGTTAGTTGTAAATATATAATATACGAATTAAAATATAAAAAAATTCATATGTATATACATGCAAAACAAATCAAATTCTTCATATAATCAATGAAAAAACAATAGTAGTAATTCTATACATAACAAATGTTTTGTTATAAATAGAATTACTACTATTGTTTTTTCATTCATATTTCAATTATAAATATCCAATTCGCAGGTTATAATTTTTTTGGTATGAAAGAAAATTACATACTTTTGGTATAAAAAAATTTCATAATTATTTTTTTACACACACTTATAAGTTCTTACAATTTCTAGAGTATGAATTTTTTTCAATTCATAAAAAGTGTGAACATAAATGAAAATTTGAAACATTAGTGTCTTTACATTGTCGATTTGTTAATTTTTATGGATATTCTATGTGATGTGAGATATATACACATATATATATTTTTTATTTATTATGTATATCTATCATCACTGTACAATTCAAAAAAATTTAACGTCTACAGATTAAGTAATAGAAAAGTATTGTTGTATTTATGTATCTAAAACTATATATTTTTTTGAAAATAGATTTATATTTTTGTTTTGTTAATTGAATTTATCATGCGCACAGATCAAAATAAGATTTTTGTATATATGTTTAAAAGTGTATAGAAGTTTTAAGTTCAATAATTCAATTAACAAAATATTGTAATATACCAAATTATGTATAATGATCTTTAAGGAGATAACTAGTGCAATTTTTTAGAAAATATAACTTAATAGTTTCTCGAAATTGTCACTTCGTGTATGGCGATACATATATATTACTATTAAATAAGTTTTTATAATTTGTAAATAATATCATAGGATATAAGTTTTGCGTGTTTTTGTAAATTGCTAAGTATATATTGAGTGAAACAGCAGATTGCTTACATTGTGTGAGTATAAATTATTCGACTGGGAAATATTTGTGATAAATTCAGTTTTTTTATATTTCGCGATATATATTAAATTTGCGTATATGCAAAACGCAACTTTTATTTTTTATCTTATTAAGAGGATTCTACACCATGTATATACACATCACGAAAAGTTAGAAACACCGTATACTTGGATGATGTTCTAAAAATTTCAGAACTATGTCCTGATTTTTTTAATTGGGATTTCACGAAGTCCAAGGACACGTTTATGTGTCAGAAAGTATTAATGCTGTCGTGTCCCAGACATTATCTGGTACATTTGCAGGTGGAGAACTTAGTGTAACGTTTTTGAAGAACATAGACTTTGTTACTAGAAATGAAGTCAATAAATCTGAGATACAGCAGTTGATTAAGCACATCATAGTCTACAATTCACGGTATATGCACGCAGCTTATATCGTCACAATGGATGTTCCTGCATTGCTCTTGAGCCAAGAGACATTCTGTGCTTTAGAAGCAAAACCCAATCTTGGGTATGTGCGGATGTACTTTTGAATTTACATTTAAACCGTATCACATGTATTATTGACAACTCGTGTAATAATGTAATAATGGGAGATTATATATAACGTCTCTCGTAAACTCTTAAATAATGAGAAAAAGAGAAAAGAAATAATTTATACTCACATACTGGTATGCAACAATTTTAATTAAAAAAAGTATATATTGTATGCTTATGTTGTGATTGGGTAATGAAACATGCGAAGTATCCGAAAGATTATGAGACATATTTACAAACATAGAATATAGAAATTATTGATGTGAATTGGAGAAAATTAAATATTCTTTTTTATTTTGATAAATGTGCGAAGAAAATGATTAATAAATACACTACTGCTCAAAAATATTTGTTCACTGTCTTCTATAGTAGTATTAGAATGCAATTTTGGCGTATGAAAAAGATGTATACATGATTTAGACAAATACAATACTTTTGAGCGGTAGTGTACTTTTAATGTGTAAAGGTGACTCTACACGGTCAATAATACTGGCAATATTATTACTGATCGTGGATGGTTGATATTGATGGATTGACGTTGAATACTGACAGCGTTTGAAATTTTGGTATTCGAGTATGGTTTGTATTAGGAGTTATGTTACAGTACGTCACAGTGCAATAGATAATATACGTAAAATTAAAGTGAAATGCATTATCAATAATACTGTATGATTCTAAAAATATTGATGCGTACTGTTAGTATTACTGATTCAATATTACTGGTCAGTATTATTGATCGTGTACGGTCACCTTTAATACATGTGCAAATGAACAAAATTGTGTATATATTGTTGTACAAATAGAAAAAGTCTACTGATATAAGTGTTACATAAATAATTATTCGTGTTTTGCGAGAGAAAATGAATAAATGTCATAAAATTATCAATTAATATTATTAATAAATGATAACGATGTGAAACTTGCAATGATGTACATAATGTAAATATTACTATTAATAATAAGTAGCATTGATATATCAAGAATTGCGTATGCACTGACCATAATATGAATAAAAAAACAATGGTATTTTATAAATCATATAGTTCTCATTTATATAAATCTTCATCCAAATAACTGTTTCATGAAAAATCCTTTGACATGGAAAAAATGAGATAAATATTGCATTATAAACATCTTATACGAATTCTGACTAACAAATACTGACAAAATTATTAATCATGTGTAGTTAGTATTAATGAATTGCTGTAGAATATTAGCTGCGTTAGATATTGTAAATCTGAGATGCAGAGCTAACAGATAGTAAGTAGAAAGATAACATGCAAATTAAATGATATGATAGGAAAATGTTTAATTACCAATAAAAATTTTTTAAGTAGAAGAGCAAGCGAACGTCTCAGATTTACAATACCGCACGCAGTTACTACTGATGATCTAAATTTCTTCATTCTGTGTAGCATCAGTATCTTCTATCACAGTAATATCCCCCTACCATAATGTACTTCGAAAATCAAGAAATCCGAATAATATTTATGTGTACTGACAATATTACTAATTGTTTAAAGTTTACTTAAAATGATAATAAAATATAAATTTGGATATTTAAAATAATGTATGTACAAAATCACTGATTATATATGATAAAATTAAAAATTATTTGAATGTTTAAAAATCGTTTTATTTTTTTTAAATAATCATTTATATATTTTTATTAGCGCTATTAATTGATAAGTATATATATATAATATGTAAATTCAATTTTTATTAAAAAACATATTTAATTTTTGTTAGTTGCACAAAAATATGTTGATAATCGCAAGATTTCTATTTAAAAATAAACAAGAGAAATAAATAATGAATACATATAATAAAAACATACATATTTTTATTTTAAGCAATAGAATTATATCAGTCTAGGAACATATAACTTTAAAAAAAAGACAAAATGAGTCGCGGCGACTCTGCGCTACTACTGTAATTAAAAGTTAATGGTATTTTAATCAGAAGATGGTGAAAGAGATCCTGTACTTCAAACAATCTTATAAGAATCGACTATGAATACCGGCCTTTATAATACCTCGTTAACGATTTAAGTAAAACGAACAGACCTATTGAATTTCATCTAGTGACTATAATAAGTCTGTTGAATCAGTTGACCAATCAGAAGAAAATTTCAAAATTTATTGAAGCTGATTGGAGCTAGAGTCCTAGATATCAGAGAAGCGCATTCGATGTTCCGCGCCCTGATTGGCTGATGACTGTCAGCCATTCATGACATTCATTCATTGGTATTAAAAATTACTGACTAATAGACGATTGGTGAATTTCATAATTCGTCTGCAAACGACGCCATTTTTAATACTGTTTTTAGTAATTTTGTGATACTGACTCAAGCCGGTTGCAGCCTGGTTTATGCTTTGGTCTTAAGTCTTAATCCTAAAATTCAGCCAATAGAGTTCAAATTTCGTTTAGAACTGACAGCTTTATTGGTTGAATTTTAGGATCTTGTGATTAAGACCTGAAGCATAAACCAGGCATGCGCTTCTCTGATATCTAGGTTGGAGCTTGCGTTCTGGGAAATTTTCATTTAGATCGAGCACGAGCACGTGGGTTATCAAAATAATAGATATATACAGTGCCCATGATGTAAAATGTAAGTTTAGCTATTATAACTTACGCACATACGCAAAATGATTTTCAAAATTCTGTAGGAACGGTGATATAGTCGGACTGGGTTTTGAAAAGAAATTATGGAAGATTACGCAAATAATTCTTAATAGCGTTCTTTTAAAATAAATAGCTAAAGGAGAAGAAAAGAAAGAGGAGAGAGGTTACAAACGAATTATACAAAAGAAAACGAATTCCAATTAAATATATGTAGTGATGTAAATGTTATATCGGCATTCTCAATATAAATAGATTTAGATATATAACGAGAACTAAGAAATTCATAATTTTTATACGTGATATAAATTTCTTGTAAGTATATTATTCATAAGTAAATAAAAATATATAATATATAAGTATATCACAAAATAGAAATTGTGAAACTTTCAACATTAATTCTTATTGGAATTCAATCTGATTTTTATTATAAACTTGTTTTCTCTTTCTAGTTGCTATCGTACTGATGAATGGCCACGAGAACAAAATGAACTTACCGCTGGTATACTTTGACATGTCTGTGGATGATAAATCATTAGGACGTATTGTAATGCAGTTACGGACTGACATTGTGCCAAAGACATCGGAAAATTTTCGTGCTTTGTGTACTGGAGAGAAAGGGTATGGTTATAAAGGAAGCTATTTCCATCGTATAATTCCGAATTTCATGTGTCAAGGAGGTGATTTTACGAATCACAATGGTACTGGTGGAAAATCCATCTTTGGAGAAAAGTTTGAGGATGAAAATTTTGAACTCAAACACAATTGCTCAGGTACATTATCAATGGCAAATTCTGGCTCGAATACAAATGGCTCGCAATTTTTTATTACCACTGTAAAAACGCCTTGGTTGGACAATAAACATGTTGTATTTGGAAGTGTTCTTGACGGAATGGATGTTGTAAAGAAAATTGAAAGTTATGGTTCATCGAATGGAAAGACATATCAAAAAATTATGATAGCAGATTGTGGCCAATTTTCATGAGCATTAAATAAATAAGCAGTGAAATGAAACATCTTAAAATGTTTGAAGTATTTTTAATTTTATTTATACTTTCGAAACTTGCAGTTTTCTATCTCTTGATAAAAAAGCATAATTATGCTGAACTGATTCTGTTTAAATGTGTAAGAACATTAAGAATTGAGAATCTAAACCAAGTTAATGTATTTATTTAGTCTTTAGATACATAAATTATTTAAGTCTTTTTTTAAGTCATCTGTACGACATTGTGATCATCTTTTTTAAGTGTATGTAATAAGTATGTATTTTTTGTGTGTGATAAAATTATTTAGTTTTGCTTTAATCCTTCGTAATTTTGTTTACAACGTAGAATGTCTATGTTAAAGTTATAAATTACAGAAACTATGATATTTTTTTGTTTTGAAGAAAATATTGGAAGTATGATTTTACCATATATGTAGTGACTTGTGAAACTGATTAAATGTACTGTATAATTATGTACAACTAATTGATTTGAAAGACAATCAATCGAAAATGACCTTTATATATTTCAACATAAACAAATATGAATAAAAGGTATTCTTGTTTACTAATTTTTTAAAGAAATTCGTAATGGAACTTTATCAGTTTTATGATTTATTATAAACGATTAAAAATATTTTATTAGATATAAAAATAAAATTTATATAATTAAATTTAATTATATAAATATGTAAAATAAACTACTATAAAAAATTATGGTGCAATCTTTAATAATATTTGTAGGAATTACTATAGTCGTTTAGATATGTTAATATTTAATTTATTTAAAAGTTTTTGTTTTATCATAAAACAAAAATTGTAAAAATATATTAAGTAATAGTTCATTTTATGACTTACAAATTTATACAGATATCAATGGATATAAATATTGTCTTACTTTTTAATGACGCTGATATTATACTGCTAGTCGATACATATTGGTAAATTAACAACGGAAAATGTGTTAAGTTCTACAACAGATGCGAATATCAAAAATATGGCATACATGACGAGGCAGGCGATCCCAACTGTACGGCTTAACGTGAATTTGTTAATAAATAAAGCTCCATATAACATAATTAACGTCGAAAAGAGAGATACTGAGCTATAGACTAGCCCTTGAGAATTAATCTGAATATAATACTGTCCAGGTACTTTTGGTAATAGTGTAGCTTTAATAAACCATGGTAGTCCGAGACACAGTAACACATCGAACACATTCGATCCGATTGAATTACTTATCCCCATAGCTCCGTAACCTGGAAAATTATAATATTCTATATTCGATGTACATGTATTTTAAAGACAGAAAAAAATTCATGTTAAGTGAATTCTTGTTTCGTTTCGATCTAACATGCTGTCAATTGTTTAGAAGTTTAATATAATAAAAAATACATTTTTAATTTAATGTGTATAAAGTACAACACATAAATGAGAAAACGAAATGTAATAGATAGCGTAATAAGAGATGCAAAAATTGAAAAAGGATTTTGCATCTATAACAAAACTGTAGAGACAAAAAATCGAGCAGCATATTTGACGCGCTTTGTTTATGATTGTAAATAATTTTAGAATAAAAATTACTAGCATTAAAATTAATTATAATTTATTGAAATTTTAAACATTTTAATAAAATTAATGTTATAGTATTTCATTTTAATGCATTCTACTTATAAAAAGATATTAGGATGTACATAGACAACGTAATTTCGAAATTGTAAGATATTACCCCATACAACACAGTCTTAAAGATCGTTTAATCATAAGGACGTCTTCAAGATGCTGCTCGGAGACATGTGTTCTGTTGGATTTTTTTTTAAATAAAGATACTTTTGAAATATTTTAATTTCACTTCTTTTTTTATGCCATTATTTTTTATTTTTTATTATTTTAATTTTATTTCTTTTTATGCTATTATTTTTGATATTTTTTCTTTTCGTAATATTATTTTTTATTCTTTTTATTATATTATGATTGAGAACATCATAAAATGGTTTTATGTAAAGGTATTGCAAAATACACTTAATGATTTTTTTTTGCATTTTTAATATCCTTTTCAAGGGATTTCACGAAATTTTGTTTAGTTCTTGTTATTAATTACAATACACTTTGTATTCATATTAATAAAAATAATGATTTTCTACGTAGGATATAATTAAGTTTAATTTATAATTAAGTTATTTGCATATCGATCAATTTCTATTCAAATCGTGATCATAATTTAATCTGTGGTCAGAGATGAGAGTCTAGAGGAATTCTGCTTAATATTATTTCTATGTTATTCATTTATATGGGTCTTGAGTTGTCTTTTTGTTTGTCTCACATAAGACACATTACAACCTTGACAATTGATTTGATAGACGACATTCTGGCTTGTGATTTATTAAGTTTGTCTTTATGGACCCTTAATGAGGGAACTTATAATGTATTTAAAATTCTGTAGTCAATTGTGAAGATTGATTTGTTAAGTAATGAGGTGACAGAATATGATACTTTAGGTATAAAAGATACTACAAATAATTTTTTATTAGCTACGTTTGTTTTGATAATTTTTTACTATATAAGCGTTTTTTCCTTCTTGTGAAGGATACGCTGTAGCTTGTGTTCTTTCGACACCTTTTCTCATATACTTAATTTTCTCATGTACGGCACACGATGCTTGTTTTCCTGCTGGATTTCTAGCTAAATGAGAATCTTACCATCATATTTGCTGCCGTATTGACAACATCAGCATCGCAGCCAATACGATCGCGAGAATCTAATCTAGATAGAAAACAAGCATTGTGTACCGCAGGCTTTACATACCTTGATTTGCAACGATAACGCTCGATACTGCTTCAGGTACACTCATTCCTGCCGCGAGGAATGTTAAACCCATAATGGAATCAGGAATTCTGAAGGTATCGCCTGAAATAAAACATAAATAGAGAGTTTTTGCAATATCATTTATCCCAGATACGTTATCTTTTTCTTCACACCTAATTAAGAAAAGGATAACGTGACTTCAGCGTTCACCGTATCTGAGATAAATGGTATTGCAAAAACTCCCTAATAATGAAAGCATTGTTATTAATCGTATTAAACATACTGTACTAGATTCTATAATAAAATGACTGTCGTGGACAATCTGAGGAATATGAAATTTTAAACAAGACATTTTTAAACATAATCGATATGTTATTTCGACATGATAATATTAGCGTCATACTAAGTTTGATGTTTCGGTGTTTTAAAAATGTTTTTCTCTGTAATGTGTTTCAATAATTTTAGTAAGTAAAATATTAGCTTTGAGTACAATAAACATCAATGACAGATTAACATCAATTGTATTATTTTTTCGCTTTTTAATTAATAAAGTCTACTGACGTAAAGTATCTAACAGCACATTATCGGTAGAAATCGAACGGAATCTATGATTTCACGATTATTTCAATGAAATATATCATTAATGCTAGATTCCGTTTGATATCTAAAATTAATTTATCTTTGTAATTTCTCAACAAATTCCGTTATATTGCTAATGGCATTCTTCCAATAAAATTCCCAGCACTTTGTAAAATCTATTTTCAACAAACTTGGCTATCTAACAATAATAAGATGTTAAATACAAATGGTTCATTGATGGTGCGCACCAATAATAGTGATGACCCATCCAATAATATAAGACGAAGTCCCAATCCATATGACGCACATGATGAATGTAAAAGGATACCATGATCTTAGCTTTCTTCTTCTACAATCGGGAATAGTAAGGAGTAATGCCACATTGATAGGCCAAGTAACAAGCCACCATATCTTTTCGCATGTAGAGTTCGGCCAGGTTGTAATGTCGACGATGTCATCTGAACAGAGACAATATAAATATTTCATGTACCCAGATAGCCAAATGCTAGTAGGATACAACGGTTGCCAATAAATTCGATCATGATTTTAAAACAGATTTCTATATCCTTCCCCATTTTCCCCCACTAATTTAGCAAAAATAAATATTTACAAGTAGAATTTGCCAGCAAATTCGATCATAATTTTAAACTTTAGGGCAGATATATTTCTATCCACTGTCTTGATAATAAAAGTTGGAGTGTAAATCGAATATAAGGGAATAATGACAGAAGTGTAAATGAAGCTTCTATAAGCTTCATTAAAAAATTTTATTTTTTAAAAATTACGAAAATTAAGACAACAAAATATAAAAGAAATGTTCACCTATCTTTTACGTTTTGTTGTCTCAATTTTCACTTCTTAGAATTTTTATTTGCGCTTTTGTCACTCTCTTCTTACATTCGACTTAACGCTTCGGTGTTTATTTTCGTCAGGTTGTGTTCTCTTTAAGCTTGATTTCTGTCATTATGACTTGCCATAATATAACAACAGAAACGTAGCAGGAGTGGAGCATACCTTGCCATCATGATGTCATAATGCAGAGCCTGCTTGTTTTCTGATACATTTCTACCGATATTAGAAAAACAGCAGACTGTGCTTGGCTGTTGCTGGAGTTCTACTAACATAATATGTAACATACAGATTGCAATACATGCTCTTGGCATGTTTGGCTATTTGGGATAGTTACATGTATCGTTGACTAATGCGAGTCTTCCAATGTTGGAATTCCTATTTTGGAATTCCTAATTATAGTATAATTATTTCTATAATAGAATCTTATTTGTTGCACGAATAATTGTACTCTAGACTCATACTAGTCATCGATTTTTAACTACCTAAGCAATGAACAAATTTATTCAATTATTTTATATTACGGAAATGATTCTATTTGTGTTATCAAGTAAGAACTCTACTTCTAGTACGTAGTATACTGTGACGTGCATGCGTATTTTCGGATAAATTTAGCCGACAACTGTATTATTTCTTAAAAAATTTCCTATGAAATTGTTTGTATTTCGTGTAAAGACTTTTGAAGTACATCTATAATTAATAAAATTTGAGTTATCTAGATAATTTTAATTTATAATTAATAAAATTTGAGTTATTTAGATAATTTTAATTAGTTATTTTTACATTACGCAGCTAGCCGACATTAGTAAATTAAACAAATTTTTTTTTGTATTTGATATCGTTTATATCGTATGTGAAAAGTTTTGAAATATAATTAAAATAATAAATAATAAATAAAAAAGGGCTACGAGCCTAACAAAGTTGATGTTTAATAATCTATTTTAGATATACATAGATATACAAACGTTTCAACTCCGATCGGGTCATTCTCAATATTAAAATTTATAATAATTCAACGAGACATCGAGGATTACATAAATCAAATCACAAAGAATAAAAGGATAAATTATTAATATAAAATTAACAGTGTTTTTTAACCCCCCTGAGTGTTAGGTGTCCACAGTTTATAAATTAATAATGTCATAAAAGTTAAAGATTGGATAGAGTAGTCATATTATATGAAATTTCGAATACATACATATAGGATAACTTTTTCTGTTAATTTAAAAAGATAATAAAATAAATTAAGATTCTGTTAATCTGTCTATTTAATTCTTGTATTATGAAGATTCGTTGTCTAAAATTTCTATCGTCCCATTTAAAATTGTGGTTATGATTAATGCGGTGGTTAATAGTAATTGAAGGAGAACCTGTTTTTTTTTTATTAATATCAGAGATGTGTTCGTATAATCTAATAATTGAAAATATTTGAGAGAGACAGTCATTTAATTAATTTAAATATTTTTAAACTACATAACCGTTATATCGGCTTTAAATTTATCCGAATTATGCATATGCACATATGTGCATTTTAAAGAAAAAGCAAAGATATATGCTGCTTTAGATTGTACAAAGACGCTGCAATACATAAATGCAGATTACACTTAAGTATTATAACACGTATGTTGTGTGTATGTGTGTGTGTGTATGTGTTCTGTGAGACATACCTGATTCATCCTGGTCACTCGAACTAAATCCAGATATCTCCGTTTCTTTGACGAGATCTATTTATTTTAAAATGAAATAGATAGTCAAGTATGAGATTATCTTTTTTACGAATAGTTATCGAACGCAATCCCGGCAAAGAGATATGTGGATTAAAAAGGATTGACAAGGATTATTCTACGGCAAACTCTTCAATTCACGAAGTCAGATACTCTCTGACTTAAAAAATTGCTAGTTTTTTCTTTGCCGTACTTTATTTATTCCTAATACATCAATATTGTCTTGTAGCTGTTTTTCAAGACAATTTTTAATATATATTTTGTTTTAAATTGATATGCATTAAATTGTGAATTAAGGCTGTAATCAAAGTCTCGCTGCAAATGCTTTGAAGAGTTTGATTGACCAATCAGAAGAAAGAATTTTACAAATTAACCAATCAAAAAACGCTTTAAAGCATTTGTAGCATTGACCGTACTCTAAATTGTAACGCAACTGCTGAGGGGAAGATAAAGAAAAGTTTATTTTAGTAAAAGTAGGAAGGATACTTAAAAGTACTATTTGACTTCTGAAGATCGAAAACTTCTAATATTACAAAATGAAAAATTGTATCAATTCCTTTTAATTCACTTACTTTGCAGAGGTGGTAATAATAAATTGTAGCGATCTTACGGTTCGACAAGAGCGGACTCTCCTCGCAAATATTTTTGTATTGTTTTCTCCTAGCAGTTATTCGATTTATGAAATTGCTGATGCGACGATTGAAACACATTGCTGAAAAAGTAACCATTCTAATTATTGTGATATTCTGTTGCAAATAATTTTAGTAAACGCTGTTAAATCTTTTGCGTTTTAAAATGTTAATGCAAATAAAGTGTACAGATAGTCTCGCCCGCAGAACACCAATTAATAGTAACATGATGTCAACATTATAATTTCCTACCCAACAACTGTATATAACTGTTGTGTAATACACAACATACATTTTATATTACATTTATGTTGAGTAGGAAATTTATATTGATGTAATATATTACTGTTAATTTCTGTTCTGTGGGCGCGTTTCTTTCAAAAAGTATCGCGTATTAATCTCAAAGAAAACAAGAAAGTCAAAATAATGTCATATTGATCGAATTATGATAAAAAATGACGTAAATTTAGTCCTTAATCGGTTGATATGACTTCAAATTGATATTATTTTGACTTTCTTCTTCTTAGGATAAAAATTAAATCTCCGTGAAATGTGAGTTTATGTTGTAATTTATAATGTAATACACAAAAGAGGCTCAATAATGGATAATTCTTGAGTCATGATGTATTAAAGGTGCGTAATAAAGCAAGAATTATCCATTATTGAGTCTTGTGTCTATTATATTTTTTTATATTCATACATAAAAACGAGCTCATTTCATTGGGACCCAATTTTTTACATAATTAATGCGGGATCCTTTGCAGCATATTTTCGAATTCTATTTGCTTTATTCATTAGCTAATATATCACCTAATATATATAGAACGTAACAAGCGACGAGAATGAGTGCCTCGTACCACTCGATACGTCCGTCCCACAGAGTCAGGATTAAGGAAAGAACTGTGAAAGTATATGCTAGTGTATCGCGCGATATGGGCCACCACTCCAAGTGCAGTATCTGCGAATGTGATAATCAGAGGTGATAAGGAGAATCGAACGCACGAAAGAAAATCCTTAAATTTAATCGCGCGAATGTTACCTCGTTCGCGAATAGCGCGCAGCACGCGGGTACAGCCAGTATGTTGAACACCGCGGAACCGACGATGGTGCCAACACCCAGATCACCCTCCGTCACGAAGGTGCCGATGACGTTGATGAACAATTCCGGACTTGAACTCGCAGCCGCCATTACGGTCGCGCCAGCCACATCCTCGGTGACGTCGAGCTCTGTCGAAACGTTTCATCATTTTACATTCGTGTGTGTTTTATGAAAAAAGTAGAACGCATAAATACGAGGTAGTCGTACTTAAGTACTTCAAAAGATTTTAAAAGGGTGATTCTTCACGTAAATTCAAGATGACAGCTTCGAATTATATCCCAGGTAGAATACAGTCACAATGAAGTCATGATGATATATAAGATGTCATCATTATTACGTCATTTGATACTTAAAAATAAACTTATAATAAATAAGTGGTAAAAAAAATTATGATAACATCCTTATGATATTATTGTGATTTCTACGTGAGATGTGAAACACGAAATGGTTCAATTTTAAAGATAAGAATGTAAACCGAACGCGATAATTGAAAAGTTTCGAAAGTCACTCGATTTACTTTTTCAACGAAATATATAGTTTTGTTAAAATAATCTTCGAAATTTTAAGATTATCGGATTCAACTTTCATTCTTCCTTATCTTCGTGATTAATTGTAAGCTGTTTCAGACACGTGATTATATAAAGTTTTCATCTTGAATGCGAGGAGTCATCCCTGAAAGTCTTTTAGAATACTTGAGAACCACCCCATATAATAAACGCACACATAATACACCAAACTGCAAACGTCTTACGCTCGTCACAGCGAAACGAGAGAGAGAGGAGCCGCAGTGAGGTCATATTAAAGTCACGAGAAAACGGATGGGTATTTCCGAACAATTCTCTTGTACTCACTCTCGCAAATTTTCTTAATAGAGGGAACGAAATAGTCGTCGCAGACAATGGCAAGTAATAAAAACAGATAAATAGCGATGACGAAGTGGATTATTATGAATCCTGCCTGTCTTTGCTGTCGTGTAAAACCATCAGACGGGAACTCTTTGATCGCCGGTGGCGTGCAGTTGTAACTGTCGTTTCCAGGTTGCTCGAACTCGCTCGCCTGCAGCAATCTACGTCCTCCTGAAACAGGAAAAAGGACACTGTGGCGTGAACAAAAATGTAGAAAAAAAAACGAGGTAAGATTAATCGTTTTGTTCACGCGATGGTCGAATCCCTAACGATCCCTTCTTTTCGATCTTCGCGGACACTCAGGGGTTGCCACCTTTTGACTAATGTTCCGCTGGAGATCTCATCTCTATCCTAGATCGTAGATTCCACTATCAAAATTGTTACTTTCTTGTAGTGCTTTCTTTAAACAAAGGATCAGCAGATCTGGTCCTCTTATACCGAAGATTACGTTCTTAAAATAATTCTCCCCTTATTTATGTTTGAACACTTTCTCGATTTATTTCACTTAATATTGCTTAAAATAAAGATCATTAAAATTTAGAGCGGTTATTTGTTCGAAAATCCGGCCGAAAATCAAAAAGGTGGCAACCGTGATGTCTAAGTAGAGAAGAGAGCGGAGAAAAGTGTATTATTTTATATACTCACGCCAGTCCGCTGCGTAGCCGACATTTGTCGTACTGTCAGATAACTGTCCCATTATACTGGCGTAAAAAAAGTACATAGCTGGTATAGTAATAACGAAAAGTATCCGGTATCCGACCGTCTGTCTGCGCCGCCATACCATCCTTTGTTATGTAAGAACTTGCGTGAAGTGCTGATCCTTCTCAGATAATATACGTAAAATGTAAGAAACGAGACGCGATGAGGATCCCGACGCGGCGTGAGTGGCTACCTGTCGTTTATCCAGCACGTACAGTTCGACTACACACTTATATTTTTCGTCCATCAAAGATTTATCACGACTTATAGCGACGCTGATAAGATACTGTTTAAAGCAATTGAGTTCTATACCTTCGATTAAGAGACGACAGGAAAGTTCCTGTGATTGCCCTATCGTAATTTCTATACGTTCGTCTCTTCGGACATAAGTTTTCTATCGATTTTATACAACGATCGTACATATTCTGGTCTTATCTTTCACGAAAGTGTTACATTACTTTACGTTTTGCGCCAGCAATACAGCTCTGTCAACTTGTCGATCGGGGGAGCATCTTCTTTTATTTATGTATTATTTCTTATTTCGAATTAGCACTTATTTTCGCACAGCGGATTTCGTATAAAGTTATCTTGACAGTGCGTGTTTATTTATAATTTCTTTACTTCGAATTTACCGTAGGTGATATTTTTTACGTGAACAAGTCCCGATATCTTCGAAATCAAATAAAGTTGCGCACGAGTTTCAACTTATTATGGCATTTTTCTTTTTCTTTTTTTCTTGATATGTGAAGAACAGTGTTGTGCGATTCTTCTAATCAAACATATATCAACTCTCCTTATTTGCGCGAGGCGCCGTTTTTTATCGTGTTATACAACAAATATTATATGTATCGAGTGATTCGAACGAATCACAGGAAATACATTTTGACATTTCTATTTTACAATGAAAATCGTAACACGCATATATTCAAAATATATTCCACGAGATCTCTTCGCGAAATATTTTGTATTAGGTATATACAATACGTTTTATGAAACAAAAGCTGCGATGCGAGAAAGCTAGAATTAAGAGATATAAATATATAGAGATATATATAAAGAGATATTTTTGTGAATGACAAATAAAATTCGTTATTAGTGAAAATATAAAGTATCAATTAATTTATAATTATTTCAGTTATTAAATTCTATATTAACCCATTAACGCCCAAGAGTCCATAATTTTTGTTCTACTTGAACGATTATTTTAGAAACGAAAGCATCGAACAAATTAGACGTCAGTCCATATTCCAATGTTTTCGGGGTCGCTCTTCAAGATTCCGTGGTCAAAATTGAGTTTCACCGTATAGGAAATCCAATATGACGCCAAGTTTGAGGAAAAATACTGAAAAAATCGGAAACATTGTTTTTCAGCAATTTTTTTTTATCATTTAAAGCAATGGGATTCGATTGAAACTATGCACGATGGTGCACGGAATACTTGAATTTTAAGAAAAAAATTTTTCTTTTTACCATACATCACTGTAACATCTCCAAAATGGCGGAAATGTTACGAAATTCAGTAAAATGTAATTTTTTTCCAAATATTTGATCATAACAATCATATTATACTTATGGAATTTGGTGAAAATCACTATCTTTATGTTTTTTGGGTCGCTGATTACGAATCCGTTATCAAATTTTCGAAATTCAAAATGGCGGATTCTATATACAATGATTATAATGTCTAAAATATTATAATTTACGAATTAAAATGCCAATACTATAGATATATTCCTGTAATACAGGCGTCGAAAGCATTGACGGATTGTCATGTGTGAAATGTGATTCGTGGTACTTATATATTCGATATCAACGCAACATGATCATATGACCATATCAATTCACGGTTCTTTGCTATTTTCTTTTATGGTCTTTTTGCTGCGAAGACAAATTTCATATTTAGCTGTTGATTTGGTAATATACATATGGTAAAAATCTAAGCACTAAAATTTTTATCGGGGGATTTCTTATTTTTGCATCTGTTATGTCTCGAAAGCGACCAAGATGCTCTGCTCTGTTTTCTCAAGTAGAATACGAACTTGACATATCAGATAATGATTATGTGATATATAAGACAATTTTGTTATCGAATGCAGATACTTCTGGTTCGGATAAGTCAAATCAAGTACTCCGAATAGTGAGAGTTGTACAAAATAGAAATACAAGGTTAGGGAAGGAAAAATTATATTTTACTGAATTTCGTAACATTTCCGCCATTTTGGAGATGTTACAGTGATGTATGGTAAAAAGAAAAATTTTTTTCTTAAAATTCAAGTATTCCGTGCACCATCGTGCATAGTTTCAATCGAATCCCATTGCTTTAAATGATAAAAAAAAATTGCTGAAAAACAATGTTTCCGATTTTTTCAGTATTTTTCCTCAAACTTGGCGCCATATTGGATTTCCTATACGGTGAAACTCAATTTTGACCACGGAATCTTGAAGAGCGACCCCGAAAACATTGGAATATGGACTGACGTCTAATTTGTTCGATGCTTTCGTTTCTAAAATAATCGTTCAAGTAGAACAAAAAATTATGGACTCTTGGGTGTTAATGGGTTAAAATAGATTTCACGTCACGATTAAGAATATATCGATATTACTCATGTACGAAATGATACCAAACCTATAATATACAATGCCTAGAACAAATATTTACATTATTATCGTGAATCAATATCACATGTCTCAATATTAGTTTAGATTGCATCCAACTATGGAAACGACCATTGATAGGATTCAAGATTAAAATTTGTAAGTCTAGATGAAAACCAGTCCTATAAGGATTTCTATATCTTATAATTAAGTAACCGTTTTAGTAACTGATAAACTTTAAAACTTTTAGCTGTTACTTTAAGGAGGTATTCTGATTTGTAAGACTCAAAATTATATGATTATTCAGGAATTATTTTAAAAGAAATGAGTTAATACTTATATATTAATATGAAACTTTTTTTGAAACTTTATTTATACAAAAAATAGATATTTAAAAATATTTTTTCGTGTCCATATGTATCATACAAAAAAAATATACGCGGTGGTACGCAAGACGTATGAAAAAAATTCTTTTTGACATCATTCCGTTAGTTCTAGCAGCCTGAAAACTAAAAAACCAAAGAAATTATTGAATTGTAAGAGTTACACTATTATTGGAATTAGAATATAAGGAAAAAATTGAAAATTATTGAAACGGTAATGTTTTGAAAAATGGTATTAATTTTCATCCATGTTTCGTTTTTTTTTATATATAATAAAATAATCGTAAATTAAATTCTGTAGTTCCTGTAATAAAAGAACATATACTAAATGGACATGCAAAAATTCAAGTCGATCGAATGCTTATAATTCCCAAGATATTATGGTAACGTGATTGAAAAATGCTGTTTTGAGAAAAATGCGTTTAAAGTTTCAACTACGATTTACAAATAGATTAATTGTACAATTATTTCAGCCTAATCAGCTATTCCTGGTTCGTACAGCAATCCTTTTTGTCGTTCATAAAATTATATAAAAAGGAATATAAAAGAAGATAGAAATAGGCAGATGTTCCTTTGTTCGAGCAATAACAATTGGAGATCCGTACCGCGGACCAAAACTTTAGCATGTCTAATCTTTACCATTTTAGTAAACAGTAAATAACTCAGTTATTCACATTATTTTTGTGAACGACTTTGGTAATATATTTTCAAGACTATCAACTTCCCGAAAATACAATAAAAGAAAAATCGATTTTACAAAGTTTCTGTTACAATTTCCATTTTTCTTTAGCTTTTCTATAATTTTAGTATAACTAGTATCATAAATTTTCCATTGATATCCATAAAATATTTCAGAAAAATTATTATTTATAGAACTTAATTTTTAAAACGTAAAAACCTTATCATTTAATTGTTAGAAAAAATATCCGGTAATAATGACGCAGAGTATTTTCATATATTTTATTAAAATTTGAAACGAGAAATTCATTAATATGATTAAATTTTATAACTTGTTAAATGAAAAAATTAATATTAAAATCGTTACACGTAATGAGCATGCAAGTCAGTCTGATAATTGTGAAAGCTTAATTGCGAAATGTACGAGTTTGAAGAGCCAGACATTCCAGTGAAAAGAAACGCAATTAAATTATAGCTTCGCGCATGCAATGTTAATTCTAATGTAGAGATGCAGATACAGAGATACGTGTTAAATCAACGCAGATAGCACGGCGGTTTATACTAGGAGAATTACACACGTGAGTGTATAATACCTAAGCTCTTGAGAGAGACTTTCGAGTTCGAGTCCTTTAACTAGACTTAACTTCTTAGGGAAACTTAGAGAAGTGATGATGCTTTGTAGTTATTACTAATTAAAAGTTTATCTTATTAGAATATTAAAGTAATAAAATTTATAACAGTCCATTGAATTTTTTATTAAAGATACTATAATGATATTTTATAAAAGATTTTTGATCGAGATCACCTTCTCCAGTTGACACTAATTATAACACACACACATAACATTAGTATTATTATTTTGCACTCAACAATATAAATGTATTTAATATAACATTATATACGTTGTAATTATTTAAGACGTTCCTTACCGTGATAATTTCATTAAATTAATGGCAAATTTCAGGGATTTTAAGACAAAAATTCTATCTCTATAAAATTGTCGAAGTTACAGTAATTTTTAAATGGGGAAGAGAATTCAAAGTTAATCAATTAAACTGCCTGAAATTTGCATAGTTATTTAAAAATTATAGCCTCGACATTTCGGTATTCAAATTTACGTCTCGAAATAATCTCATTGACTATCATTAACTATTATTATGATAATTACTCTTGTTATCATCCCTGAATTACTTTTGTTATCATCCCAATCAGCATACAATGTTCTTTACAAATGTTTTTTTAAATACTTATGAATTTCTTGTTAATTATATATGTACAATTTACACATTATAAAAATTTATTAAATTCTCGTTAAACACATTTCATTTAACAATATTAAAATAGAGACTCAAATTTCAAAAAATAAATAATTCAATATACTACGAGTCTGAGCTAAGATGTAAGTTATTTTAATGTAAATAATAAGTAA